ATTAATTACACGTATTACTCCCTGTTATCAAGTCATCGTTACCCTAAGTTCGACGGTTGAGCGTAGGGTTAACAACGGATTGGGAATCCATAACTCTGATTTCTATAGACTGGATAAAAATTTTTCCTTTTTGATTGGACGAAAAATTCGTCTGTATATATACCATATAATTAATATTATTACGAAGACAAAAATAACAAACTTAAATATAGGCAGAATTATATACTGATCATTAACTAAAGTATTGCTACCTCCTAACGCAATAACAGGTACAGCTGGAATACTATCATAATCTTCTTTTCTATCAGGTTTGTGCTCTCAGTAATGTGAAGAAAAATGTATATCTCTTCTACTACTTCATTATGCTTATAATCATTGGATGATAAGGCTGAGTTCGCTTCTGCATTACCTATTTTTGAATCATGAATTGTCTGATGCGGTTGTGAAACAATCTGATCTAGTTCATCTTTCAGATTACTTAACCTGGATCTGAAACAGAAAATTAACCCATCCTTAAATGATGAATTTTACGTAACTTTTTCCAGTTCATTTTCCAAATCCTTTGTTTTAATTTCAAGAGAGGGATTACTATACAATTGGTTAGTATCAGAATCTTTTAATAAAACTTTTTGCATAGTTTGTTCTAACTCAAACTCCAATTCATTTATTTTAGTTTCAAGAGAGATGATATCAGAATTCTTAAAAGATGAAGCTTTTTGCATTGAAGATATTATGCTTTCTAGTGATTTAACTGTAGACTTTAGCGATTCTATTTTTTTTAACTGCTTGGCATTAAGATCAGCATGAAACTTTCATTCACAAGTAATTTGGAAGACAAGCTTATTATTCAAACCATTTGGTTGATTAGCTAGAGAGATAATTTGATTCATAGAATTATGCATTCACTTATTTTCCTCATGCGAGTGATCTAGATCATTTTGCATACACTTATTTTTTTCATCTAAGATATGATATTTAGTTATAAGCTGTTTGGCAGATCTTATAAACTTTTCGCAATCTTTTTTTAGCTATTCTTCAAGTTCTAATCGGCTCAGTAGATATCGATTGGATAGAAGGCTTTCAAGTTTACCGCAATCACTATTACCTACATTATTTAATGTATAAATTTGAGGCATAGTTTTTTATTCTCGCAAATATAGGCAAAAAAAAATATAATTTTTGAAATAATAACATTTATCCTAAGTATCCTAAATATTCTAAATATCCTAATAAATTTTTTCGAAATAATATATTTATTATATTTATTCTAATAAATTATTTTCAAAATAATAGGTTTATCATACTTATTTTAAATATTAAAAGGAATACACTTATCCTATTTATCCCAAAGAATAGATTCATTTTATTTAATATTTTTTGAATATTTTATCAAAAAAAAATATCATTACAATTATGGTTAGACACGTATGAAATGTAATTCACCTTTATTTTCTCCAGATGATTATGATTTTATTATGCAACGCCATGATGAGAGACCGAAAAAAAAGTTTTAGAGGAATTGATAGACAAATATAATACATCAATAAAGCGCATATATCAGATTTGGAGAGGTGAAGAAGCTAATAAAATTGTCCGAAATCAACCAATAGCTGATATTTCTAATACTACTTATGCAGGTAGGTGTTTACCTAAAGTAAACTGTGACCCACCTTTTGCTATTTCCTCTCAACCTGCCTTACTACTGAAGAAAAATAGTCAAAAAAAGAAAACAGATAAAATGGCATCTATTGAGACAGAAATAGAGGTGATTTCACAGCACAGTGCTAATATTACAGATAAAGCTCCGCATAAGCCGAGCCAGCTCGCGAGCCTCACGAGCCAGCTCACGAAAGCTCAGCTCGAGCCGCTATAAAACAGCTCGCAAGCCGATCAAGCCGGCTCATGCTGTGGCTCAGCTCGTGGCGCGGCTCGGCTCATCAGCTTGGATTTTTTATTTTTGAAAAAACAATCCAGGAGTATTAACTTTGAAGAAAAACACTTTCGGCAACGATTTCTTCGAAGTTAATGATTCCGGAAACGATTCTTCGAAGAATAATGCTTCGGGAGCGTTAAATTTAAAAAAAATAACGCTTCCGGAGCGTTACATTTAATAAAAATGCTTCTGGAACGTTATTTTTGAAGGAATAGCCTCTGTGGCTTTTCCATTGAAAAGAAACGTTTCCGGAGGCGTTTCCTTGAAGTGAATCGTTCCTGGAGGCGTATTATTTTAAAAAACGCTTTCAGAGCATTATTTTTAATTAATAACGCTTCCAGAGCGTTTCTTTAAATAAAAACGCTTGCGGAGCGTTAAGTTTAAAAAAATAACACTTCCGGAGCGTTTCTTTTAAATAAAAACGCTTCGGGAGCGTTAATTTTAAATAATAACACTTCCGGAGCGTTTCTTTTAAATAAAAATGCTTTGGGAGCGTTTCTTTTAAATAAAAACGCTTCTGGAGCGTTAATTTTAAATTATAACGCTTCCAGAGCGTTTCTTTTAAATAAAAATGCTTCGGGAGCATTATTTTTAATTAATAATGCTTCCAGAGCGTTTCTTTTAAATAAAAACGCTTCCGGAGTGTTAAATTTAAAAAAATAACACTTTCGGAGCGTTACATTTAATAAAAACGCTTCCGGAGTGTAAATTTTAAATTATAACGCTTCTGGAGCGTTTCTTTTAAATAAAAACGCTTCCGGAGCGTTTCTTTTAAATAAAAATGCTTCTGGAGCGTTTTTTTAGGAAATTCGCTTCCGGAGCGTTTCTTTTAAATAAAAACGCTTCGGTAGCATATTTCTTAAAGTAAAACGTTCCGGAAGTGTAGTTCTTATAGAAAAACGTTCCAGAAGCGTAGTTCTTATAAAAATACGCTTCGGTAGCGTATTTCTTAAAGAAAAACGCTCCAGAAGCGAATTTCTTAAAAAAAACGCTCCAGAACGTAATTCTAAAGAAAAACGCTCCAGAAGCGAATTTCCTAAAAAAAAACGCTCCTGGAGCATAATTCTTAAAGAAAAAACGCTCCAGAAGCGTAATTCTTAAAGAAAAACGCTCCAGAAGCGTAATTCTTAAAGAAAAACGCTCCTGAAGCGAAATTCTTAAAGAACAACGCTCTGGAAGCGAATTTCTTAAAGAACGATGCTCCAGGAGCGTAATTCTTAAAGAAAAACGTTCCGGAAGTGTTTTCGCTTCAAGAGAATTGATTTGGAGACGTTTCTCTTGAAGGAAACTATTTCGGAGACGATTCTCTTGAAGGAAATCGCTTTCCGGAA